CCCCACGTGGCACGTAGCCAACATCAAACAATCCCTCACAGTCTCCTACCTTTGCTTTTCAAAAGTGGTATCCAGCTTTCTTTTATTTATTTTTTATTGGTAATCCTTGATAATCTTCTATTAAAGTTTCATTTTCCCTGTGGGTAAATATTCAACTTGGCAAGATAAATTATAATATCTGTTGCTAAGTATAGTATCTTTATATTAAGCCTTTATATTTTTATCTTTTGGAATATCATATTCCATAATTTTCTTTCCTTTTTTGTAGTTGCAGCAGAATCTTACCAATCTTGATGATGTACTATCTCTTTCATACTTGCTGCTTATAGTATTTTTCTGTGACTTAAAAGCTCCAAATTTTGCCTATAGCATGCTCGAGTACTTTCTTTTTGGAAAAAAAAAGTTTTTATTAATGTCTTTCATTTTTTATATTCTCGTGGTTTTCCTTAGCATCTCCCTTCCCCCTCCCAGAGAGTTATCCCATATAACAAAGATTATTTTTTTTAAAGAATCCCCCTCCAAATAATGAGAAGAGGAAAAAGTCAGCACAACTTATCATTATATTGAAAAAAGTAAAAAACGTGCATGTGCAATACTTGTGGACTTCCCACTTGCATGAAAGGGTGGGTTGAGGGTATTCTCTAATATCTTTTGAGTCATGCTTGATCTTCATAACTTTGTTACTTTCATTGTGTGTGTAATTATTCTTTCTATTCACATTGTTTTAAGGCATTGTGTACATTGTCTTCTTAGCTCTGCACCAGCTGATGAAGATCTTTTCATGTTTCATTGTAGTCATCATATTCATAATTTCTTACAGTACAATAATAATCTTCTACATTTAAGTACTCCAACTTGTTTAGCCATTCCCTAATCAATAGGTGTTTACTTTGTTTCCAATTCTTTGTTGTCACAATAAGTTCTACCATAAATATTTGGTAATTTTCATCTTATCAATGGTTTTCTTTGAGAATAAGCCCAGTAATAGACTCTGTGGGTCAAACAGTATGGATATTTTAGTCATTTTATTTGCATACTTTCACATTTCTTTCCAAAACATTTATACCAATTCACAACTCCACCAACAATGCATCAGTGTGCCTATCATATCACAACCCCTCCAACATTGATTATTGCTATTTTTTGTCATTTTTACCAATTTACTAAGGTGAGATGAAATCCTTGGATATTTTGATACCCAGAGACTGATGTTTCTTTAAGGTGATGATTTGAGGATTCTTTCTGTTTTTCATTTTGTCCTCTGGTGCTAATAGAACTAGACAATTTTACTATTTTTTGAAATGTGAATTTTGTGGGGTTTTTTTTTTTTGACATGGTCCTGATTTTCAGTGAGTTTGGTAACTGTAATAGTAGATTTTCTCCACCTTTTTTTTCTGGCCAATTTTTTTTTTAAATTTTTACGATGGATACATTCTATGTTTTTTAGATTTTTCATCTTTTGACTTTGTTCTAATATTTCTTAATGTTTAATTGCTCCATTCTATTTTTCCAGTACTCCACTACTTGAGTGAGGTTTTCCCCATTCTGTGTTGTTATTTATTGTCCTTTGAATATTTTTTCCTCAAAAGCTTCTTTTTTTTTTAAACCTTTGCTTCATTTCTTCTATCCACTTTTAGACAAAGTTATCTCTACCTCGTCCCACATTTTCTTTGTACTTATTATGGAGTTACTCTCTTCTTCTGAGTTTTCCTCCCGGGGTACTTTTAGCCCATAACATTTCTTAATTGTATTCAGAGTTCTCTTTTTATTCATGTCTCTAATCTCAGTTATTAGATTGGGACTTTGCACAGAGGCCATACTCTATTTACCCTCTCCCATACTCTTGAATGGAGTGGGAGGCCCTTGCCTTATTCTGTTCCCTCTGAAGTCTAGGTGACACTGCCACTGCTATTCTGGGTAAGATGGTTTTGTCTCAGTGCCTAGCTTCTTCCTCTGTCTTCTGATAGCTGAAATGGGTACTGGTTTTGGCCCCATCTCTGTCTTCTCCTTAGACAATCACCAATAGGGAGTTTGCTTTGTTCCCTGCTATTACTTTGACAGACGCCATGCAAATGTCTGAGATTTTAATGGTCTCAGGCTTCCTCCAGGACCTGTAGTAATTCCTATTTGGGTACAGCAATGGCTCTCAACTCTGTATTCACTGCCTGACCTCATGTACCATAAGGGCCAAAATTGAAGGTTGGCTCTACCCCCCAGCCCCAAGGCTCCCAAAAAGCCAGGGCTGAGATCCTCCTGATTTCAGGCCCTTCACTGGAGATGTAGTTGGTTTCCTGAAACCTTGGTCTTTCCCCACATAAAGGGTTGGCAGACTTCTGGTCATATTCTACTACAATTCTAGACAATGTAGAGGAGCTTACTATGACTTCCCTTGGTGTTTCTTGATCATTTCCTTCTGACTTCTTTTTTATTCTTTCCTATAGTGTTTATCAAGAAAGCTGGGCTGGTAGAACACTTCCCATCACCATCATACTCATAAACTCCAGTAGATCACAAGTTTACCATCACACAATATAAAGATGTAAAGATTATAGGATCCAATTGTACTTATAATTTGTTGACTACATAAAAAGGATTTACTAAGTTGAGTAAAATACTGCTTTTAAAGGTTCTCCTCCAACAGTGTCCCCATGTACATGTACAAGAATCCTTGAAACATAATATCAGAGATAGCTTTGTTCAATGACTTGATTATTAATATCAAACAAGGCATGAAAAAGGAGGACGTTTACTTTCCAGTGGTGTTCACCATTATCATGGATGAAATACAATTTTGAGTCCAAGTTGAAGAAGAATTTCCTTGTTAATATGGCAAGGCCCTCCATCATAGGGTGATGAGATTTTTCTGGTTTCATCAAGTCCTCTAACATTGTAGACACTCCTAAAAAAAATGAATAAACAATTCATATTGTCCTGGTGATGCTATGCAATTAAGGGGAGTAATGCATAGACATACTAGAAACATGCCCTTACCCCCATTCACTGTCATGTGTATGTGTGTGTGTGTGTGTGTACAAAGAGTTTTATATATACACACTCATATATATTCACATATGTACTATATATAGGTACATATGTATTATATGTACATATACACTATATACTATAGTACATATGTACTATATACACAATACACACGTACATATATTTATATATACGTTTCCACAAGTATGTATATATGTATATATAGATTAACATATGGTATCGTATACATATATGCACATACAAGTGTGACTACATGTGGGGGGAGTCTGCAGAGGTCCTAAGGCTGAATCACGAGAGCATCAAGAGAGTAATGACCGCAACATAGTAGCAAAAATGAATTCTGATAAGGATATGTCTTCAGCATCAAAAAGAAGCCTTTTAAAGGCACACTTTTCTTGCCCATTAGAATGTAAACACTTCATCATTTATCCCTTTCCAATTGCTCAAATTATGAAATAAACAACTTTAGGGGGGATCTTCTACAATCACTGACTCCATCTGGACTTAGGCTTCAATGAAACTAAATAGAGTACAACTAGGCGGTACAGTGGATAGAGCTTAGGAACTGGAATCAGGAAGATTAGAGTTCAAATTCAGCCTCAGACACTAGTTATATGATCCTGGGTAAATCATTTCACCTCTGTTTTAGTTTCTCCAGCTTTAAAATGAGGATAATAATAACATCTTATTCCCAGGGTGGCTGTAAGGCTAAAATAATATTTGTGAAGTGCTTTGTAAACTTTAAAGTACTACCTAAATGCTATTATTATTGTCATTATTATTATATTATTCAGATTGACTCAGGGTATACAATCTAGAATGTCACTTATGATACTCTAAGCAATTTCAAATAGGGAGTCACTTGGCCAGGTCCTGCAGTTTGATTAAGTAGATGTTAATAATTCTGCTGGCTAGGTCAAAGAGAGGTCATTATTGCAGCTGAAATAGAGAGCTCCTTTGTCTATCCTATCTTTCCATGTGAAATCTACAAATTCCTTATCTCCTGTAGACAAAAAATGCAAATGGACAATGAATTAATTTCAGAAATGAACACAAGGAACAAGGAACACAAGGAATTCTGGGAAATCCCAAAGTTCTGTTTAATAATCTCCAAACTTTCCTCTGGAAGAAAAGCCTAGAAGTATTCTTAAAAGCAGTATGCTTAACAATTGTGAATAATTGTTAGATATTGACCATCACAGTATTTTTTGGTATGATTTGGTTGTCAGTCATGGAACACTATAATCTCAGAAGAACTGAAATTAAGGACAAACCAAAATGATGCATGGTGGGCCTGAGCAGGAAGCATTATGCTATATGTTATAAACAGTGAATTTAAAAGTGAGTTTTGTAAAGGAAGAAGAACATAGTTAAAAAAAAAAAAGTACGAGTGGAAAAGATGGGCCAGTGAGAATGAGGGATAATGATAGACACACCACAGGCTCCATTAGTGTCTTTATGATGACAAGAAAAAAATGGGGGATGCTCCTAAAATGGAAGGTGGACCCTTGTGGAACACTTGTGGAAGCACTGGGATAAAGCAAGAGGGTAGACATGGATGAGGAATCAATGAGATCCCCAAACCATTTGAGAATATGGGGCATAATTCACACTGGCATAATTGAGTTGACTGTAATGTCCTAAAGGAAAGAAATCATACACTCAGTTACCCGAAGAATTTCAACTGTGTGACCTGACCTCAGTTTCCTTATCTCATAAAAGAGCAAGTCTAAAGGGTTTCTAAAGTCTCTCCCTGGCATAAAATAAAATGATTCTTTGATTCTAATAAACTGTGACACAAAAATCCTCTAGGACGTTCATGTTGGATCATTTTACATTAATGAAAATGATAGATCAGATTATAAAATCCAGGGGCAGCTAGGTGGGACAGTGGATAGAACACCAGCCCTAGAGTCAGGAGGACCAGAGTTGAAATCCTGCCTCAGACACATAACACTCACTAGCTGTGTGACTCTGGGTAAGTCACTTAACCCCAATTGCCTCAACAACAACAAAAACAAAAAAAAACAAAAACAAAAGATTACAAAGCCCTTAAAGGCAGGGATTGCCTTAATTATTTCTCCATCTGCTATAGTACCATGTTCCTTACATAGTAAGTAAATGCTTATTCTAGAATGAATGGATAGATGGATAAATAAATCTTTTTGTTGTTATATTTGTTTTTACCCTTGGTTTACATTGAAAGTCAATTTTCATGAGCTTAATAATTATTGTTTAAATATTAGGACTGCAAAGGTAACCTAATAAGAACAGCTAACAATTATGTAGCTCCTACTTTGTGCCAGATATTATGCTCTGCACTTTACAAATATTATCTCACTTGATTCTCACAACAACCCTGGAAGGTAAGTACTATTATCATCCCCATTTTATAGTTGAAGAAACTGAGGCAAACAAAGGTTTGGTTTGTTGCCCAGGGTCACACAGCTAGTAAGTGTCTGGGGTTGGATTTGAACTCAGGTCTTTTTGATTTCAGGTCCAGTGCTCTTTCCGTTATATCTTCTTAGCTGCCTCTAACTACACTTTTGTAGGGCATCAGAGAATAATTAGATACATTGAATGGAAAAATAAAGAAATCAGAAAAAAACAGCAGGAAAATTTGATTTAGGTTTAAATTTCTGGATTCTAGGCATAGTGGTTTTTATAATGTCCTGTTCCCTACTATGCCAGTGGGGATATCTACCTGCATCTGTGCGAATCTTTGTAGGGCACTGCACCAACATGGAAGCATTTAATAAATAGTCTTTGATTATGCTAAAAAATTTTTTTTGGTAAAGCAGTTATTATTCACAACCTTGTTTCGCACATAACCAAGGTAGGAAGTGACTTTGGAGGTGCTGTGGTCTAATGTGTGTACATAAAAGATAGGTCTTTATTTCAAACTTATGTCATAAAGCTGTCCTTGGACACTCTAAGCCTCATGACCTTAGGCCAAAGGTAGAAAACATGATGTGGCAGAAATAGAGAAAGATTTTGATCAGCATTCAGATCCCAGGCTCTACTATTTAGTACTTGTGTGACATCTTTGGCAATCTGTTTCTTCACCTGTAAAATTAAAGATTAGATTAGATCAGTGGTTCTCAAACTTTGTGGTCTTAGGACCCCTTTATGTTCTTGAGCAATTATTGATAGCTCTAAAGATTTCTAGTTCATGTAAGTTTTATCCACCCATATTTACTGTATTAGATATTAAAATTTAAAAAATGAATATATTTATTAATCAATTTAAAACTAATGATGATAAGCTCATGACATATTGACATAAATAACATTTTTATAAAAAATATTTTCCAACACAAAAAAAAATGAAAAGAGTGACCTTGTTTTACACATTTTTGTAAATTTCTTTAATGCCTCACTTAATCAAAAGCAGTTGGATCTTCACATCTGCTTCTTCATTCAATCTGTTTCGATACGTTGTTTTGGCTAAATACATGAAGAAAATCCAACCTCAAACAGATATGTAGTTAGAAAAGAGAGAACAGGCAAATGATATCTTTGTAGTATTATGAAAGTAATTTTTACCTCATGGACCCCTTGAAAGTGTCTCCGGAACCCACAGGGGGTCCATGAACCACATTTTGAGAACTCTTGGATTAGATATTTAAGGGACTTTCCTGCTCTCAAATTCTATAATCTATCTGGTTTAGAGTTAATATTTAAACATATGCTACAACAATCAAACAATTCCATTGTCAAGGGGGTAAGTTACCTTACGTAGAGTGTTCCTCTTCTAAAGAAGATTGAAATCTCACTGCCCTCAGAGCTCATCCCTACCCCCCATCCCCAAATCTCTAATTGTAGCGTGCAGGGTATTAGTACTTCTAAATGTGTATTGTAGTTCTTCCTAGGGCGGGAATATTTAGTGTGCCTTCAAATCCATTTAGGAAGTTGGTTCCATTTTGCCCTTCCTCCCTCCCTCCACGCCCCCCCCATCCCGCAAAGTAATAGCCGGTATGTAGTCATGTGCTTCCTAGAGGAAGGATGACTAGATCTCATAGAGAAGTCTGCAATGTTTATTCCCTTGTGGACCTGCCGTACTTGACTTGTTGTATTTCCTTTCCTAAAACTTCAAGCTGAATTGATCAAATTAAAACATTTATTAAGTGCCAACTATATACCAAGCACTCTGTTTGGCACTGGGGATATAAAGACAGAAATGAGAAAGTACCTGCTTCATGGGAGATAACATGTACATATATAGAAGTGGATACAGAATAGAAACAACGTAATTGGAGGAAAGAAGGTACTGGCAGCTGTGGGGAGATCAGGAAAGGTTTCATGAAGAAGGTGGTGCAGAGGATAAAGGAATAAAGAAAATTAGTGATTCTAAGAGATTAACTTTGTTCCAAACACCATCCCCTAAAATGCTTTTAAGTGTAGCTCATACCTAGACCACTAGCCCCTTAAACTTTCTTTTATTTGGTATGTCTGTGCCTCTAGTTTAATTAAAATGTATTTAATATTTGCCGTAGCTGATACCATCAGATTCAAATCTGGAATAAATGAAGGGAGTCCCTTATCTTATTGTATTCAAAGTCCCTACTACTATCTCAAGATAGGTGCAGTGTATCTATCAGTTATCTTCTTTCCTGTACCTTTTTAAGCCTTTCTAATCTTCTTCCATGGAAGGATCAATGAGAGGGATACGTCCTGCTTTAAAACCCCTCAGTCTGACAGACATCAGCAGCAATGAAGCAAGGAGGGGATGTAGAAGGAATGTATTTTCAGGATGGAAAATATACAGCCGTTTCCACACGATAACCAGGACGCTGATATGTGCTGAAGGGGTTGGGTGGATCAGGAAACACCACCGAATCCCATTCCCCACCCTTACCTCAATGTCCTCGGGATGAAGAAGATTTTCCTGAGTGACTAACAGTAAGGCTATGTTTGAACTCAACTTCTGTCTCTTCTCCTTCAACTTCGGTAAACCCAAAAACCCAGATCTGTGATAACAGGTTGAAGCATCATTGCAGCCTACTATTCTGCTAAGCTCCTAGAGCCATCTGCGGCCTTGGGGTGGTGCGGCATAGGTGTATACAATAACAATATAATAAGAACACCAATAACATTTTCATCACAAAACAACAACAGACACTAGCAAATCATGTAGAGCAAGGATTCTGTAGTTCCAAAATGACCAGTTTATTCACCCATCAGTGCTCACCCACGGAGCTGCAGAGACAGGGCGCAACCAGAGAGAGGTCACTGGCTTTCCTTCCTCCTTCTTTCCCTTCCTCATTTTTGCAGCCCTTTCTCTCATCCTTCCTGCCCCCCCCCCCAACCTCACCACCTCTCAGCTCACGAACACATACACACATACTTACTACACTTAGCTGCTCTTACTGCGGCTCAACCAAACTGGGAAAGCCGAGTAGCAAAAGTAGAGAAGAGGGTGTACGATTGCACCGGGGTGTGGAGGCCTTCTCTCTCCCCTCTGCCTTTCCGTTTCTATCCACCCCACCTTGGCCATTCTCCTTCTCCAAAGCAGGCCCATAGGGTGTCTGACACCTGAGCAGGGACCAGGAGGTGGAGGCGGCAGGCTGGAAAGAGAAGGAGAGAGATTGAGAGGGAGAAAAAGAAGTGAAAGGGGTGGGGACGAGGAGGAAGAACAAGCTAGAGAGGAGGTTGCTACCCGACAGTGAGTGACAGTGCTCCTGAGCCAATACACAGACAGATCTAAGCTAAGGGGAAGGAGAGCTTAATGGGCGGGCTGAGAAAAGGAGAAAGAGGAGGGGGGAAAGGAGAGGAGGAGGAGGGGGAGGAGGGGAGGAGAAAGAGGAGGGGGGAGGAAGAGGAGGAAGGGGAGGAGGAGGAGCAGGAGAAGGCAGCGGGCAGAGGTAGAAGAGGTGGTGGTGGTGGTGGTGGCGGCGGCGGCGGCGGCGGTGGCGGCGGTGGAGGAGGAGGAGGAGGAGGAGGAAGAGGAGGAGGAGGGAGGAGGAGGAGGAAGAAGAAGAGGAGAAGGAGGAGGAGGAGGAGGAGGGTAGGTTGCGCCTGGAACTGTGTATGTAGAACTTGTGGTTATGCCTCTGTGAGTGAAAGGAGAAATCCTAGGAACCAGAGGAGAGGGAGAGAAAGAGACACATCCAAAGGCGGTGGCAGAGGAAGCAGCAGCGGCAGCAGCAGCAGCAGCAGCAGCAGCTCAGGATTGCAGTCAAGAGACAGCAGCAGCAACTCAGAGTTGCAGTGAAGAAATAGCAGCAGCAGCAGCAGCAGCAGCAATCCCCGCCACCACTTCGCCTTGGGAAACCCGGGCTGTTCTGGCTTTGACATTTCCGACTGTGTTTTCTCCTCCCTCTTCTCCCTCCATGTGATTAAAAAAAAAAAATCTTGTGTGCGTGTGTGTGTGTGTGTGTGTGTCTGTGTGTGTGTGTGTGTCTGTGTGTATGTGGGTATTTCCTTACACTGGCACCCAGTCTTCTGCGCTGGGTGGGTGTTTGTGTGTATGTTTGTATGTGTGTAGCTTTCCTCCCCATCCCCTTTCTCCAAGAATAAAAGAACAGAAAGGCGTGATTTGAAAATAAATAAATAATATACTAAAAAAAAAGGCAACCAAAAAAAATAATCCTCAAACATCCCAGAGAGGGGGTGGAGGAGGAGGAGGAGGAGGAGGAGGAGGAGGAGGAGGAGGGGAGGAGCAGGAGGAGGAGGAGGAGGAGGAGGAGGAGGAACGCAGGCGAGAAGGCAGTAACTTTAAAGCCAGCCCAGAACCGAGAGCTACAGCCTAGTGGTTTGCAGCAGCGGCGGCAGCGGCGGCGGCAGCGGTAGCGTCTTGTCTTCTAGAGTGTGTGTGTGAGTGTGTGTGTGTGTGTGTGTGTGTGTGAGTGTGTGTAAGAGAGAGCGCGAGGGAGCGAGTGTGTGTGCGCGCGCTTGTGTGTGTGTGTGTGTGTGTGTGAGTGTGTGTGAGTGTGTGTGTGTGTGTGTGTGTGCGTGCGTGCAATCGGACTAGCAGCGCGTAGCTCTCCTCCAGCTGCTGGAAATGTCCGAACACAAGGCAATTGATCCGAAGTTATCGACGACGGACAGGGTGGTTAAAGGTAAGCTGGCCCGGCACGGACGCCCCAGTGTACCGCAGCAGGCAGCCCGGTGTGGGTTTCCTTCTCTCCACCTCCCCCCTCCCTCTTTTCCCTTTCCTTCTCCCCCCCCCCCCACCGCCGCCGTCCTTCTAGGATCTCCTGCAACCCTCCCACCTCCCCAGCCCCCTCCTCCTGATACCTTCCTCCCT